AACTCCGACCTACATGCAAAAATTAAACAAATTGAAGAGAAGCTTCAACTGGAGGAGAAGTGCAAACAACTGGAAGCAAGAAATCAAGAGCTGGAAAAACAACAGCAACGCCAGCCTTACACAAAAATTATTAATGAGGCCTGGGAAGGAAAGTTTGGTCAAGCACGGGAGAAGAGTTTGTTCCTGATGAAGGAAAACAAGAAAAAGAGTGCTGAATTAAAAGAAACGTCTGCCCAGCTTCAACACAAGAATGCTACTCTTGAGGAGATGCAAAGGGATCTCGAAAACATGGAGCAAAAGAATCAGGTGCTCCGAGGAACGCTCGATGAAGCTATGGAAGAAATTGTACAAATCCTCGGACAGAAAAAGGAAGAGGTCACACAAATGCAGGACCAACTCGAAGGCATAAAGGAAAAATACAAAGTGCTGAAAGTCAGGCTGGATGAAACAGAGTGCAAAAATAAAGAGCTTCTTCAAGAGAAAGAGCAACAGGAAGAAGAAAAACTTATTCTCCAGGACTTTGAGAGAAGAAATCTAAAACTGAATGAATTTTGTAATACAATGAAAGACAGAAAACCTGAACTGGAAGGAGAAGTATTGGAAAAACTACGTTCAAAGATGCAGCGTAGGATCAATGAAATGGCGAAAAAACACTCAGAGGTCATTAATGAGATGTTGTTGAAATTAGACAACTTGAAGTGCGAAAACGCTGAAATGCTTGCGCAAAAGCAGCAACAAGAGCAAATAAATGAAGACCTGCAGTGTAAGCTTCAAGAAATCACAAGAAATGAGCATTAAAAGAAACGGAGCAAAGATGCCAGAAACTTGAGAAGGAAATTGAAGAAACAAACGATCATTCAAGAACCCTCATCCTGGAGAAAAAAGAGCTCATGGAAAAGTACCTGAAAAAGAAGAAAAGGCGCTGCTGCTTATTCATGTAGCCTCGTCGTCCTCCACCTCTGTTCCATCTTAATTTTCACCACTCCTCTCCCCCTTCTCCCTTTCTCTCCTAACACCTCTTCCCTCTCTCCTTCATCTTTTTTCTTTTTCCACCCTAACCCCCCAACCAGTCCCGGCAGTTGACTGCCCCTCCTGAGCCTGGTTCTGCCGGAAGTTTCTCCCCGTTTAAAGGCAGTTTTTCTTCCCCACTGTCACCTAGTGCTTGCTCAGAGGGGATTGTTGGGGCCCTTTTTTTTCTTTTTATTACCGTTTTCCTTTATTTACTGATTTGTTTTTGGGGTTTTTTACTTTTCTTTTACGTTGTTTCTTTATTTACTTGTTTAACTTTTTTTTCCAACTGTGTAATAAAATTATAAACCAATTGAATTTATCCTTTGAGTATTTTATGGTCATGCCTTGTCTTTTATGTCCATCCTCTACACTGACAGTATTCTGTTTATGCTGTCTTTTTTCCACACAGGATAAAGTTGGTGTGAAGGTTTCAATCTGTGAATGAATCTAAGCACCATCACCTTAACTCTGTTACCCTTTATGTAACTGAACTCTGACCGTGAGCACCACAGCCACTGCGTACCAGTCACACGCACTTTAAATCCATCACAGTAAACCAGTTATTGTATCTCAGTTTGTTTTGCAGCACATTTCACAACATGAAAAAGCATAATGTCAAATGTACAGACTCAAAATCTGATTTAAAAACATGAGGACTGACCTGTAAGCTTTACATTTACAGTTTATCACATACCACTGAGCAGTTCTTACCTGTAATTCTAACCACTCTTCTTCCTTTTCTTCCGTCTTTCTTATCTTTTTCCATCTCTGAGTGTAGTTAGCTCTCTTTCTCTCCCTGTGAAATACAGCAGCTGGACCGTTAGCTAGCAACACACTGTGCGACAAAATGCATGAAAGCCTGTGTGTTTGTGGACATTTGCTGAGCTAATAGAAATGTTGCATTTGAAACGACTTACAACTTAAAAAATATGACTCGCTTAATGCTCGCTCATCTTGTGTAGGGCTAAATAGATGCTGACGGAGTGCAACCGTCCTGCAACTGTTCCAATGTTGTGCAAAATAAAATGAATAAATAAAAATGCCGGCCCACTTTAACCCCTGGCTATGGCACACCATTTGCCTCTTTCATCTATTTTCATGCGACATCCCCTAGTGTTTAATAGGGGGACAGGACTGACTCGAATGTGTTAAACCAAAAATAAACATGTTTTGAAAATGTAAGGAGGAAAAAGTACTGGTATTTGTTTAAAATCAAAAGTTGACAGATACATAAATTCCTAAGTAAAGTGGAGATACCTGAAAATTCTATTTAAGTACAGTAAAAATTTCTACTTCCTTACTTCTCACTTCTGCTGCCTATCAAGCCCGCTTGTCGTTTGATTGCGCTACAATCACCTAGAGGTGGGACCGAGTCATTGTTTTGTAAGTCTCAAGTAAGTCTCAAGTCTTTATCTTCAAGTCACAAGTCAAGCCTCAAGTAAAGTCAGGCAAGTCAGAGTCAATGTAAATAAAAGACCATGTGTTCTTTTTTAAATCTGTATTTATCTCAACACTTGACAAAACAAGTGAACTTACAAGACATGCACAAACTAATTCTGAAATTGCACCTCTATAACATACAGCTCTATTAAACTTTGCTGCAAGAATATTCTTCCTCTAAACTACAAATTCACAGAATAAACATTCAGTGAAAAATGCAAAAGAAGAACTTCCTGTTCAAACAAAAAGTGC